AATAACACAAAACTAAATCACAGGAAACAAACTAACGTGGGGGCGGGGGGAACAAGTGAAATCCTGTTTGCAGTGAGGACAACCAATAAACATTTTCTTCCTCAAGATCAATTGCAGACAAACCATGAAAGAAACAATTTAACAAGGAAACCAAGCAATTACCGATAATAAAGGAAGAAGAAGAAAAGGACATGACAGAACAACACCAAAAAAGTTAACAATGCACACCTGAAGAAAATAGGAAAAATCAAGCTTTATTTTCTTGAAGTTCTGGTTACAAGCTTCAGATTTGCCCTTTTTCTCTGCTCTCTTTCTCCCTCTCGATCTCTCCAATATTCCTTCCGAGCTTCGCCAATTTTCTCCCCCTTCTCCCTCGATTTTTCCCAATGAATTCCAAAAAAACTGAAGCCCCACTTTTTATAGATAAAGGGAAAAACTCAATCCTAATGTGCTTCTAATGTCTAATCCAAATCCCTAAGATAATAACCAAATCCCTAAGACAACAGCCCAATCCTATTTGGAACGGGATTTCTTAGTTTTTCTATTTTCACATCTACCCCTTTCAAGTCTAGATTCATACCTTTTACGCTTAGAAATCCCCACTTTGAATCAATTTCGAACTCTTCTTTTGCACCTCTTGTTGATAACTTTCAATCTTCCGAAAATTTCTTCAAAACTTGAGTGGATTTAGGGATAAACCAAGAAAAATTTTGTGATTTTTTTTCTGTTCTGAAAGGGGTTGTGGCGGAGCAAAGAAAGCAACCAAATTTGGGCAACCAGGGTTCCCTTTATTTTAACGACGTCATTTGCCTAATTCTTCCCTTCAGCCCTTCAGGTTTCATGTTTTTACAAAAATAGTCCACAGGCTTCTACTTTTATCATTTAGCCCCTGATGGAAATTGGATTATGACAGTTACCCCTTCTTTACTTTTCTTTTTGTAAAGAAAAAGGTAAAAAATAAAAGAATAGCCACTACTAAAAATTTGACTTTTTTCAACCAACTATTTTCCAATGCAATTTACATTGGAAAATAGTACATTATTTTCCAACGTCAAGCGCTAGAAATTAAAAATTTGTATAAAATATCTAAAATCCATTAATAATTTTCAAGTAAAACTCATTTTTTGGTGCACTGCGCTGGAAAATAATATTTTTAGTGTTATTGTTGACAAGAAAAATTTTCAAAAATAAAAAAAATATCTTTCACGTTTTTTTTAGCACAACGCACTGGAAAATGTTTAGAATTGTCAAAGTTAAATGGTAGAAATGAGTGCAGGTTATTTTCTAGTGCATTGCGATGGAAAATACACCTGTGTATTTGTTTCAGCTTATTTTCCAGCGCATTGCGCTGGAAAATAGTAGTGTCCATTTGGTGCAGATTATTTTTTAGTGCAGTGCACTGGAAAATAGTAGTATCCATTTGATTTAGATTGGTTCAGGTTATTTTTCAACGCATAGTAGTGCCGATTTGGTTCAGATTATTTTCTAGCTCATTGCACTGGAAAATGGACCTCTATATTTGGTTTAGATTATTTTCCAGTGCACTGCGCTAGAAAATAAGTTTATCTAAAATTTATAGTTTAATGTTCAAGCGCCATTTTTTCCTTATAAAATTTTCAAAATTCTGCCCACATTATTTTCCAGTGTAATGTGCTGGAAAATGAGTTTATCTAAAATTTAAAATCCAACATTCAAGCGCCATTTTTTCCTTGTAAAATTTTCAAAATCCCGCCCCATTATTTTCTAGCGCATTGCATTGGAAAATAATACTTATCTATATAAACCTTCCCTTAGCATTTTCTCCCATCTTCTTCTTTCTTCTCTTTCATTTTTCTCATCCTTTATCGGAACTCACTTTCTTTTTTCTCCTCTCTTCCTTTACCCCACTCATATATTTCACTTTCTCAACTTAATCATCCCTTTCCTCTTCTCTCCATTTCCTCTTCCTTCTCCTTTTCCATTTCATCTTCATTTCTTCTACTTTCCTTTTTGCTTT